CCATCCAACCTTATAAATACCATAAATCAGCCAAAGGTAAATTTTAGCTAAACCCTGGAAGATTTTTTTTAAGTCCTTAAGACAAGCCAAGAGAATTAAACCCACTTTTTCTACTTTAACCTATTCTTTAACCTAAACTTAACCATGTTTTTTTCCCCCACATTTATTTTGTATAAGGAAACTCCTCTCCCTTTGCCACCACCCTTGCCCAGGGTGGTTAAAAGCTGTGGCTCAACTCAAACCCAGCAGAATCTCCCCCAAAAATGGATTCTGACTGGAAACCCTGCACAAAAACAAAGCTCAGGGAATGCCAGGGAAGTGTGACATGGATCAGATCTGGGCCTTTGTCAGCCCCAGCCCTGCTGACAGTGGTGCCAGCCTGGCACGGCTGATCAGAGCTGGCAGTGGGGACAAAGGACAGATCACAGGAAACAGCAGTTTGGGAGCAGCTGAGTGGTCTGAGCTCCTCTGGATCTCACCAGCACCTCTGGAAGCTGCCTGGGAATGAGCCCTGGACACCCCCTGTCAGCTCAGGGATCCTCCTCAAAGCTGAAGTGACAGATTGATTTGATGCCAGGGGTCACACCCCTCCCTTGTGTGCAGGCTCTGCCCTGGGAGATGGTTATTTCCTTGAAATGAGCCTTTGGGAAGACACATCACCAGCTTAAATCCCAGGCTGGGCTCCTCTTTCTTGCTTTGTCCCAGAAACCCAAGGTTAACATCCCCATCATCCCCTCCAGACTGTCAGTGGCTACACAGAAGGTGCTGTTTTAGCTCCCTGATCTATAAATCCCAGCAGTTAATCGAGGTTTCTACCACAGGAAGGTAAAAGAGCTTTATAAGAAAGGAACAGTCTCAACCTGATGAAAATCAGCTGAGTTTTGATATGTAAAAAAGCACAACTTTATGGCAAATTAAAGGTTTAACCTCTTGCCTGATTCCTGGGCCTGAGCTGGAAGGTTTGTTTCTCCTTATCAGTGGAAAAAAAATTCAAATAAATAACAAAGCTTGAATCCATTTTAATCAAACGATTTGTGCTCATCACTGAGCTGAGCATTTCCCCCTAAACAAGCAAAGTCACATCATGTGGGATCTCCTCTGGCTTTGTTTACAGACAGCATCAAAAAATACACAAAATTCTCTGGCACAATGGGCTTGAAAATGGGTATTTACAGGGTGTTTCTCTCCATCCCCATCCACTTTGCTTTGAAAGGCTGATCTACCTGGTTTAGTAGTTAAAGGGTTACAGAGGGCTGGATGATCCTGAAGGTCTCTTCCAGCCTTGATGGTTCTGGGGTTCTGTTCTATGATGGCACAGATTCCCCCTCCTCAGGTTTTTTAAATCTATTTATATACATAGAAATGACACATTTTATACATATATAAAATATATATATATATATATCTCTATTTTCCCCACATATTCTGGGCACTGGCACAGGTTGCCCAGAGAAGCTGTGGCTGCCCCTGGATCCCTGGGAGTGTCCAAGGCCAGGTTGGAGCAGCCTGGGCTGGTGGAAGGTGTCCCTGCCCGTGGCAGGGGGTGGCACTGGGTGGGCTTTGAGGTCCCTTCCAACTCAAACCATTCCATGATTCTCTAACATATGCACCTTGGGGTGGTGTGAGATCCATGGGTGTGAATTCCTGCTCCAGGCACACCGGGGGAGGCCCCAGAACTAAGGAAAACGGACCCAGGGCACTCTGAGGATTCAAAACTGGTCTGACAGGTCTGGGAGCTCACTGGAAAACACCAAATTACCCTCAGGCAAGTGATTTTCTGCTGGGTTTCTGCAGGGATTGCTGTGTACTGGTAACTCCCCCTGCCCTCCAGGAATCCTGGAAGGAAACCAAGGGCTGTGGCTGCAGACAATGTGGGGATTCGGGAACAGAAAGCACGGGAGAGCAGTGACACAGTGATCCCAACGCGTGGGCAGCGAGACAGAACAAACCCTGCCAGCCCCAACACAGCAACAAATGAACAAAGGGGAACAGGGTGGGCCTTGGGAACCTTCTGTGGGGACACCTGAGCTGCCTGAACACCCCCCAGGTGCTCAGGTCACAGCACCCACACAGGGTCACAGTGGGAGAGCCAAGGATGGGGAGAGAGAAAGGAACGTGGGTCCCATCAGATCTTCCCAGTCAGAGAGTCCAGAGGATGTTCCCAGCTATTCCATGCCCTCACTCAACTGGCAGGGGCAAGGGCTCTGGCAGGAGCTGCCCATCCCTGGGGCTGAGACAGCCAGAGAACAGCAGGAAACACCAGGGGAACTCAGCTCATGGACGTGCTTTGCAGGCAGACATCAACTTGCTGTGGCCACGTCAGCATTCCCACAATTTCTGTTGGGATTTCAGCTGCCCAAATAAGTGCATTGTTTTAAAAAAAAACCCTAAATTTACCTCATCTATCAGAAGCACGATTCAAACTCCTGGTAACTGCACTGAACATTTCACAGCTCACAAAAGCATCCTGTTGGTTTTACACTCTGTAAACAACTCACTCGTGAGCTCCAGGTAATACCATTCCAACCAGCAATCATTTTAAAAGATGCAGCTTCAGGCAGGTGAAAAGATGTGAACTCAGGCAAAACATTCCCAAACCTGAAGCCTTTTATGGCCAAGAACAGGAGCAGGGCCGTGTCTCCAAAAGCAGCTGCCAGAATTCAGAATCTAAAGATGCCACCTCTAGGCCTGTTCTGAAGTGTCTAATCTGTTTATTGCTGAAAATCTCCAAAATTCCCACACAGATGTACGAGGCAATGAAGTTTCCACCTCAAAGTGTTTGGAAAAACAGTAAAATCTGACACAAAGCACCTGAATGAGAAGGTTTGAGCATCCTCAGCACAGGTGACCCCACCAGCCTCCCCCTCCCCTTTCCTACCCACTGACTGGCACTGAACTGACACGATTTTATTGCACAAATAGTTAAAATATCATTACTTTCTACCCCCCACACAACCACAGGTGGCTGTGGCACCTCAGAACCTCAGGGGGGGTTCAGGAGGGACGTGGGGATGGCTGGAAATTGCTCTGCATGTTCAGAGAGGGCCTCAGTGAGAGCCCTGTAACCCACGGGAGCTGCTCCCACGTGGAGCAGAGCTCTTAAATCCCACTGTGGGTCACAAATCGAACTTCCAGGCTCGAGACTCCACTGCTGGATGCAGGCTTTGCTCTCAGCAACCACCTCCTTACAGGCAGGACAGAGAAACTTGACCCCTGCCACGGGGGGCACACGACCTCCAGCTAATCCTGGTTAATGAGGAATTCCCAAAGCCCCTCTCCAGCCAGGGGTCAGCTAATCCCATCACTGACAGCGGTTTCTGACTCTCAAGAAAATTGAGACTGACTAAAAACCACGAATCTTTCCTTCTATTTCGATTTACAGACATTGCTCCAAGGAGGGAAACCGTGATATTTGGATTTTAGGAAAACTAAATGCGAGTTGTCCTGTGTGTTACCCTTAATCCAGGAACTTCTCTTGGATGTTGGGAAAAAGGGGCTTTTAGACCAGCTCTCCCTTTTAACCAGCTGTGGTAGAGATTTGGCATTTGAAGCACTAAAATAATGCTAATTTAAGTGGAGCTTGTCAGCATAGAAGTGTATTTAAGTGCCATTCTCCTACAGACAGTGATGAGATTAAACCTAATTCTTTTTAAAGATAGCAGTGTCAGTGTTAAAATCAGTAAAAAGCCCTGCAAATCAGCAGTTTGCACCCTTAGATGAAGGTGCAACACTTCAGGCTGATGGTCACACCATCACAAGTGGCTGGGGTGGAGGGTGGCACGGGTGGCACAAAGGCTGCAGCTTTGGGGACTCATCCAAGGGAAAGGAACAGGATTCCTGGGCAGTTTGGCCACTGAACACGAGGTCTGGAGTGCAATCAAGAGTTTCACAGCATTCTGGAGACCTGGCAAGGCCCTGAGCAGCACCAGCCACCTGAAGGTGATGCCAGGCATGACAGAGCTCCAGCAACTCCACAGGATTCCCAAACAAAGTGTGCTGCTTTGCTCCACCTCCCGAACCTTCAGGAGTGGCTGCCTTTGAGATGAAGTGATATTTAGGTAAAAGCAAAACCAGAGAATGTTTTCTGTCGCCTTTCAGGCCTGAATTTCCCCAAAGCAAGTTGTGCCAGTGCTGAGGATTCACTTCAGATGGACCCAGCCCCTGCTCCAGCAGCACAGGCAGCCCTGAACTTCACACCATCGTGGGGAGAAGGGGCTGGACCAGCAGGTTCTTCCTTAATTCACAGTAAAAAATACCCAGGGACCTAAAGTGACCTAAAGTCCCTCTCATCTTCCCGCCACTCACAGCTCTGTATGAAGAGTTACTTATAAAGGCTCAACATCATCAGTCCCAGACGGAGCACTGATACTGGGAATGGCAAAGGCTGCACCTGCTGATCAGCAACATTCCTCCTGGGAATCTGTCCTGGAGGAGCCAGGGAACGCTCCAAAGTGCTCACTCCACACCCCATTTCTCCACAGAGTTCCTTCTGTGACTGCCTGAAATGCAGTCACTCCTGGGGCTGCTCCAGACTCGCTCCTGGAATCCAGGGGATTGTTCTGCTCCAGCTGGAGCTCCAGGAGCTCAGTCCTGGCTAACCAGGTAACTCATCACCAACAAACCAACAGATTTCAGGAAACAGAGATGACATTTTACAGCTCAGCAACAAATCACCTGCTGACACAACCGGGAGCAACCGGAGAAACAAAAAGCTCTGTCTTAGTTTTACATATTAAGAGTTTGGCTGAAAGGAGCCTCCAGGAGCCACTGTGACACGCTCCAAACGCAGCCCCGGTGACATTTCTCCCCAAACACCCCTGCTCTGACACACAGGGAAGGAGAGGAGGCAACAAAGTGCTGTAGCCAAAAGGTGTGTCCCAAAACCAGCAGGAAAAGCTGTGTGTGAAGTGAAGTTGCACAGATTTGGCACCACCACGACTCCAGGAGGTGACCTGGCACGCGAGGACGAGCGTTCAGCAACCCCCTCCACCAGCACTGACCTCTTGAAGTGACTTGCCAGGACTCCCACCAGCTCCCCGACCCTGCTGTCGCTGGAAGGGTCTTTGCTGAAGAGGCAGACGATGAGATCCTTGTTGTCCTTGGTGTGGAACACCACGAGCTGGTCCTTCCCGTTGGAGACGCTCAGTCCCACCAGCTGTGGGGACAAAGCAAGAACCACCTCATGCATGTCGGTACAAAAGCACCCGTGCCCCATCCCTGGGAGTGTCCAAGGCCAGGCTGGATGGGTTGGAGCAACCTGGGAGAGTGGGAGGTGACCCTGCCCAGGGCAGGGGGTGGCACTGGGTGGGTTTTGAGGTCCCTTCCCACCCAAACCATCCTGGGATTCTGGGATCCCAATATTCCAAACCCATGTGGGTGTGGCCCTTCAGGACATGGTTTAATGGTGAACACCAATGGTGTTGACAGCTGGACTGGATGGTCTTAAAGGTCTTCTCCAGCCTGAGTGATCCTGTGACCCTGGGGCAGGTAATGCAAGGATATAATAAAAATATAATAAAAATATAACCTATAAACCCCACAAACCCTGATGATTCCCATGGATAAAGGTCTGGCTGTTCTGACAAAATAAAAAGGTGTGGAGGTTTGGGTTGGGTTTTTTATTTACTAATGTTTTCTTTTTGTCTGTTAAGCAGCTGCACTTGGCTCAGCAGAAGCTTTGGCATCATCTCACAAAGGAAAAGCAGGGAGTTTTTAGGAGGGGCAATGTGGGTTATTCAGATGAATATTAGAGAAAGCAGAAAATGAATGTGAGCGGAGAAACAAAGGGTAAGGAGGGGGAAAAAAAAAGGCATCAAAAGGCAAGTACATCAAACCAGAGAAAAGAGAAAGGAAAATAAAATGAATAGAATAATATAGAAGAGAATTAAATAAATAAATAGGCTAAAATAACATAAAATAAAATAAAATAAAATAAAGAGAATACAATAAAATAGACTAAAAAATTAAATAAGAAGTTAAAATAAAATGAATAGAATAAATAAAATTGAAAAATAGAATAGAATAGAATAAGAAAAATAAAAAATTAAATTAAATTAAAGAAATAAAATAGGCAAAAGGATGGTGAGTACAGAGAGAACTCCACAAAAGGGCTACAAGACTCCTTTGAAACCAGAGAAAGGAGAAAGGAAAATAAAATAAATAGAATAATATAGAATAGAACAAAATAAATAAATAGACTAAAATCAAATACAATAAAATAAAATAGAATAGAATACAATAAATAGACTAAAAAATAAATAAAAAGTTAAAATAAAAAGAGTAGAATAAATATTAAAAAGAAAAATAAATTAAAAAGAAAAATAGAATAAAGTAGAATAGAATAAGAAAAATGAAAATTAAATTAAATTAAAATAAATAAAATAGGGAAAAGGATGATGAGTAAGAGAGAACTCCATTAAAGGGCCACATGACTCCTCTGGGTCACCCAGAGATCTGCAGAGAGAAGCCACATTCTCCTACAAGTGAGAGGCACCCAGGTACCATTTTTTTGGAAACCAAAGTCTCTTTATTCCCTTCCTAAAGGAAAAAGGCTCCAGAGCCTGCTGGGGGGGTGAGCACCAATTCCAGCTGGACATTCCTGACTCCTCTGGAACACGGATCCCACCCAGGCCCAGGCTGGTTTAACACTCACAGCAGATTATTTGCAAGAAAGCTGTTCCAGCTCTGCCTGTCTCACACACCCCAGAAGGGCCCGGCTCAGCCAACAGTCCATGCCCTATTTTTGGGATGAGCCACTTCCCAAGGTCCAAATCCCTGGGATTTTCTTGGTTTATCCCCCCAGGAACCGAAGGACGGCAACTGCTGACCTTGGAGCCCCGGGCAGGGACCTCCTGCAGCCACGATCCCCCAGCACAGGTGGGGTTTATTCTCTGTCCAGGCTATTTTGGGGCTGTGAAACGCTTTCAAAACAAGCTCCACTCCATGCTCAGGCATTAACAGCTGCCTGGGTTTATAGTGTCCCTGAAAATTAATTTGCATGCTTAAATACCCTCCTGTGAGCACAATAGCACCACAGGGACCGCTGCCATCGAGGTTTTAAATGTGCAGCGAGTGTGAAAGATGAACAAGTCGCGGTGTCGGATTTGAAAAGGCAATTTAAACATTAATTATTCAGCAGAACCCTGTTAGGAGTCTAAGAGCCCTTCAAAATCCTCCCATTTCACCCCCTCCCCGTAAGACTCTCTGAACACATAAATGCAACACAAAAGAAATCATTTCAGAGAAGGTGCTTATCTCAGTATTTACCAACACTAATATTGGCTCTGCTTGAAGAGCAGGAAAAAAAAATCTTTCATTGTGCTCTCGCTGCACGGTGCCTGCAAGAGCCTTTCTGCTGCCTGGGTGCCTCTTCATTCCTCTCTGCCATCGTCTGTGTGGTTTTCACTCAGGTGAGAACAAAAAGGTAACTGTGTATTGGCACTTCTGAGGGAACTGCACGTGGAAAACCCACAAAGAAAAATCCCCCAAGGCAGCATCTTCACACAGAGGAACCACTGGGGTTGAAAGGGAAGGTACTGATTGTCACACACACACAGAATCACCCATTCCTCAGCCAGGACACAAATGACAGAGCCATGGCCTGGTTTGGCTTGGAGGGACCTCGAGGATCATCCAGTTCCATGGGCAGGGACACCTTCCACTAACCCAGGTTGTTCCAGCCTGGCCTTGGACACTTCCAGGGATCCAGGGGCAGCCACAGCTTCTCTGGGTAACCTGTGCCAGGGCCTGCCCACCCTTCCCAGGGAAGGATTCCTCCCGTCCATCTAAGCCAAATCAAAGCTAGTTTAGTTTCCAGCCCTTCCCCCTCGTCCCAGGGCAGAGCCCTGAGCAGGGCTGAGGGAGATGGGGAGTGATTTCTGCAGCCAAAAACCAAGTTTGTGGTTTGCCAGCCACCAGCTGACCGTCTCCAGTGAGATTTCCATGGAAACACCACCCCTAAGGATGCTGCTGTGTCGACAGGGAGCAGGCAGAGGATCTCAGGGGGATTCACCTCTGCCTGTGGGGAAGATGATCTGTCCTCCCAGAGCACGCACACCCAACACAGGACAGGGCTGGTTCACCCCCAACCATCACCACTGCTGCAATTGCTACCCATCAGAAATCCTGACAGCATTTCAAACAACTGTTCTCTCCCTGAAAGGGAAGGAATTCCTGTGTCACTGCTCAGCTGCTGACACCACCTCCCTCCCACTGGGGAAGGGCTGCCAGGACAGAAGGGATCAGGCACGTGGAAAAGCAAGGGGAGAGTGTGCAAGGCAGTCTGGAGGTGAAAGACCATGCATATACAAAGCATCTGCGAGAAAATATAGCACATGACTGCAAAAAGGAACAAACAACTGCACCACAGCATCCACTGTTTGCCAGAGTTCAGTTCAGGAAATCCTGGCAGAAGAAATACAAATGGAATGGCTTCAAATGGGAAGGGAGTAGGTTTAGGTGTGATACGGGGGAGAAATTCCTCCCTCTGAGGGTGGGGAGGGGCTGGGATGGAATTCCCAGAGAAGCTGTGGCTGCCCCTGGATCCCTGGAAGTGTCCAAGGCCAGGTTGGACAGGGCTTGGAGCAACCTGGGCTGGTGGAAGGTGTGGTGGCACTGGATGAGCTTTAAGGTCCTTCCCACCCAAACCATTCTGGGATTCTGTGAAATGTTTCATGCTCTGTGTGTGAACCAAACACCTCCCCAAACTCTCTCCTCCTCCCCCCTTCCTGCAGCTCAGAGGCCTCAGTCCATCAGCCCTGGCCCCACAGCCCAACCCTGCTGTGTGTGAGCAGGTTTGGGAATGTTCCCCACGGGCAGGAGGAGCAGGAAAAAGGAGAGGCTGTGGCCAACAGAGCAGAAATTTAACATCACTGAATTCACCAGAGCTTGTTTTAATCCCATTTCCATTCTGGAATATTATTCTGACACTGTCTGAATCAGCAGAGGGTCTTCTGGACTCATTTCTCCCATGCCAAGCACTCCAGGAGCCCTGAGTGTCGAGGACCCCAGATCTCCAACTAAAGCTGATTTATATCTCCATGCAACAATTCTAAGAGCAAGAGGCTCATCTGCAGAGATCATAAACTGCTTTTGGTGCCTGAGGAACTGCAGAGCACACAGGGAACCAACACACAGCCTGTGCTACAGCTCTGTTTTAGATTCTATTTTAGATTCTATTTTTTTTTTTGTGAAAAAGCAATAATTACTGCCATTTCTGAGTAACAGACACTCTCCATGTAACCCCAAGTTGTGTCTGACTCGCCCACCTCCTTCAATTTTTCGGGCATTAAGGATTTCAGAGGGAAATGTTCAGGCCCCCAGCAGTGATTTGGGCTCGTGCTGTTGTAAAATCTCCAAGCTGCACCTGTGATAAATCCAGATTTACCTGTAACTGCTGATACAGCAAGTGAACTGCAGCGGCCTGGCCACTCTGGGTAGGGTAAGAGTGCAGAAATCAGCAGTGGGTGCCCAGCTGGGGCTGGTGAGAGCAGTGAAGCAACAGCAGGGATGCAGCCTGAGCCAGTCACTCCCTCCAGAGTCTGCAGATGAGATTTCACCCTCACCCTAATCCCATCTCTGCCCTCTCAGCAACACAGAGATGCCAGATCTGTCACTCCTGCAAGGGTAAACACCCCAACAAACACATGCCCGACGTTCCCCTCCACAGCCAGGCTGTGCAGGGTGGAGATAAACCACAGCAGAGCCACCTCAGGCTGAGGGAGATGAACAGCAGCTCAATCCCCATCTCCAGGATGCTGAGCAGCAAAGGGGAGGTGCTCCCACCCCCTCCCAGCCCTGATAATCTGCTGCCAGACCTCACCCCAGTGCCAAAATTTAGCTTTGGTGAGATCTGCCTTCAATGTGAACAAATACAAATAAATGAATAAATAAATTCAAGCACGGCAGGAAGGATCAAACAAACCCCCAGAGACACTGAAACAGTGCCAGGAGCTGCTGGGAAATGCCAACCCCCTCGTGGGGCCAGGATCCTGCACCCAGCAAACAGCACTGAAATAGGGAAGGAGCAGAAAGGTGTAAGAGGCAGCTTGGGGTGCAGCTTTTATTTTAGGCACTGAAATTAGAAGCTAATATGATTTAAAACCGTAGAATCACAGGGTATGCTGAGTTGGAAGGGACCCACAAGGATCTTGGCTCTGCACAGGACAACTCCAAGAATCCCACCATGATGCTTTGGTGCTGCAATAACTGCACTATAACTGTTATAAAGGCATCAAATCTATTAAAAACGGTCTTTTTCCATGTTATGGATATGCAAATGGAGCTAAAGAGCAGATGCACTGCCCTGAGAGAGCCTCAGAGGAGGTTTCCCAGCCTTTCCTTCCCTACTTACGTTGTAGAGGGGGATGGTCTTCATCACCTTGTACTGCCTCATGGGGTCCATCTTATAGAGGTGTCTGTCAGTGATGAAGATGGCTCTGTCCTCCACCTTGTTGAAGCGATTGACCTGGGGAGAAAAGCATTTTGAGCCCCACTTCTCACTGCAAGGACATCCAGAAATGACACTCTGTGGTAATAATTGTGCCAAACCCACACGGGAGGACACCAAACTCCCAGAGGAAACACCCAAAACTCTCACAATGAACACCCAGAACTCACCCAATGAACACCCAAAACTCACCCAATGAACACCCAAAACTCACCCAATGAACACCCAAAACTCACCCAATGAACACCCAAAACTCACACAATGAACACCCAGAACTCACCCAATGAACACCCAGAACTCATCACAGCTCCCAAACGGGTTTTCTCCACAGCTCTTGAAAGAGTGGAGAGGGAAGATGGGCCCTGTAATCCCATTCTACAGAGGAACAGAGGAAGGCAGAGCCTGAGAGAAGCAACATTCCCAGTTATCCAGCAGAGCTGGGGCACCCTGGGCGAGTCCAGGGCTTCACTCAAACAAGGCCAGCTGCTTCCCCCAGCAACACTCAACCCTCAGCTCTGTTCCTTCCTGACACCAAAAACTCCATGAGGGATCCCTGCCCTGCAGAGCTCAGGGGGCATCAGGGGCTGGAACAGCCCAGACCTGAGGCCCATCCTTGTCCTGTGTCCTGTCCCTCCATCCCTTGTCCCCAGTCCCTCCCCAGCTCTCCTGGAGCCCCTTTAGGCCCTGCAAGGGGCTCTCAGGTCTCCCTGGATCTTCTCTTCTCCAGGTGAGCCCCCAGCTCTCCCAGCCTGTCCCCAGAGCAGAGGGGCTCCAGCCCTGGGAGCGTCTCCGTGGCCTCCTCTGGCCTCTCTCCAGCAGCTCCACCTCACTCCACGTCACTCCACGTCACTCCACGTCACTCAGGCTCTCAGATGCCCCTCAGGACCCAAAGATCACGAGGCAGGACGTGAAGCTGTGTCAGAAGTGCGTAAGAAAGCGGGACACGAAGCAGAAACTGCTTCTCAACTGAGGCAAAAGCAGAGCCCTGGGTGCATCACAGTCACTGAGATATTTATTAATCAGCTGAGAAGGGGAAGATGTGATGAGGCGGATGAGCAGAAATAGGATCCTCCAGGGTGAAGTCAGGAGACGACGGGAGGACTTAAATATTCTCAGTCAGAGTGACAAAGTTCAGAGCAGATAAAGGCAAAAAAAAAAATGCAAATTGGGGAGCTCTGTGACAGCTTTACATCAACAGCACCGAGTCAGGAAAAGTAAGTGAGGATGATTTCAGACAGCTCTGGAGAGATCTTGGCACAAACACGCCCGGCAGCTCAAAATAAGCAGAGTGCTGGCATGGATAAGGATTAACACAGGAATGACATCCTGGGTGCCAAGGGCTCACCTGGAATAGTTGGTAAAGCCCCGGGATGGGGGGTGTGAAGGAGGCTCTGATAGTTCAGAGAAGGTGAAGAACATGACTGAGGGCCTGGGAAGTCTCACAGCAAGACATGCTGAGTAACTGGGATTATTTTAGGAAGCAGATGAATGGGAGGAAAAAAACCTAAAGGCTATGAAACACTGAATGGCCCAGAGAAAGTAGGTTAGGAGTGCCTGGTGCCACATGTGGAGGTGTTTGAGCAGAGCAGCACGGGCTTCTCAAACTCCTCAAACTTTGGCTGTGCAGCTCAGGGCTCAGCACCTGCTGGGTCCTGGGGAGCTGAATCAGAGGCTTCTCCAGTCCTTTGAATTGGGGATCTGCCCCACCCAGAGCTCAGATGATTTATTTTAACTTTTCTCACTGCCATGACCCTGTTTGTGTGTTGTCTGTGCCCACCCCCAGCACGGGGCCCAGGGTGACAAACAGAGCAGGTTTCAGTGCTGTGACACCAGAGCCACCTCAGAAGGTGCCGTGGCTGCGGCCCAGGAAGCAGGGATGGAAAACATGCTCAGCTTTCACAGGATCATAAAGGCAGGAAAAGGCCTCTGAGAGCATCAAATCCAACCATCCCCCAGCACTGACCCATGTCCCCAAGTGGCACATCCACAGGTGGGATAAATCCCCCCAGGGATGGGGACTCCACCCCTGCCCTGGGCAGCTGTGCCAGGGCTGGACAGCCCTTCCCATGAAGAAATTTTCCCTAAAATCCAACTTAAACTCTCCCTGGCACAGCTGGAGGCCGTTCCCTCTCCTCCTGTCCCTGTTCCCTGGGAGCAGAGCCCGACCCCCCCCGGCTCCCCCCTCCTGTCAGGGATTGCAGAGCCAGAAGGTCCCCCCTGAGCCTCCTTTTCTCCAGGCTGAGCCCCCCCAGCTCCCTCAGCTGCTCCTGCTGCTCCAGCCCCTTCCCAGCTCCATTCCCTTCCCTGCACACGCTCCAGCCCCTCAGTGCCTTTCTTTTAGTGTTCCCACTGAACCATAAATTCAGCTGCAGGGATGTTCCAAAGGGGAGGTCCAGCAGCTTATTCCACCTGAGAAGCAAATTCTCATTGCTCCAAACCTCCCGTCCTCTCAGCTCTTTCCAAGCAACCACTTCGCTTCGTGCAGCTACAGCTCATTTAGGTGAATAAAACCTGCTGTGGTTTAGGTAAAAATTTAGGTAAAAACTGTCATGTTGGGGAGCAGACCCAGAAGGGACTCAGAGACATTGCAAAATTCACTGCTGGGTTTGTAGGAGGAAGGACAGGCCTTATGTTCTCAGCTACAGCTCATCCCCTCCCGGAGAACAGCCCTTCCCAGCATTGTGTTCTCTGCACCTTCTGGGCATTTTGTATTTATATCTTGCTGATCCAAATACGAATCAGTCCTAATTTAAGCTTCCTGACAAGCTTATGGGGGAGATGAAGGTCTGGCCTGGAGCTGGAAAACCTCCAAGTAAGTTTTTCAGGTGTCTGTCAGTGGCCTCTGGACACCTCAGGGCACCAACCTTCAGAGGAGATGTTCCTCTCAAGGGAGCCTGGTGCCACAAGTGACAAGGGAAAAGTGGGAAGAAAAGCCTTCTTCTAAGAGGCAAAAAAAAAAAGAGAATCTGTTGTTTCCTAGGTGATCCAACAAAATCCGGAGGTTTGCATGAAATATGCATTTGGTTTCCCAAAGGCAAAAAAAAAAAAAAATCTCCAAAGTTTCCTTTGAAAAAGTGAAGAGCACCACAACACCCAGGAAAAAGATGGATTTTTCCACAGGCAGGAATGACCTGCTTCTACCTGTACCTACTGAGAGGAAGCAGTCACAAAGCACACCCACCACCTCCCCCCCAAGTGAGGCTTCAAAGCCTCCTCACAGCCCTTCCATAAAAACAGCTCCGCTCCAAACAGAGCCACTTGTTGTCGTTCGGCTCAAGCTGCTGAAATCGGGACCCCACGCACTCAAGCTGCAGGAAACTTCACCAGCAGCTCTCAGAACTTGGAGAGCAGTAAATTTACTTCCTTGATTTAGAACCATTTTGGCTGGAAAAGCCCTCCAAGATGATCCAGTCCAAGCTGTGCCCCATCCCCACCTTGTCACCCAGAGCACTGAGTGCCACAGCCAGTCCTTTCTTGGACACCTCCAGGGATGGGGATTCCAGCCCCTCCCAATGTCTTACAGCCTTTTCCATGCAGAAATTCCTCCTGATGTGGAATCTTCTAGATTCTTCTTGAAGAAGAATCACTAGATCAGCTAAAAATGTTCTGTCTGTAGGAATTTCATGGTTAATCCTGTGTGTTCCACACATAAACATGTTTAAACATGTGAAGTTGGGTTTAACCCCTGTCTGTTCAGGCTGCCCAGTATTTATCCTTTTAATGTCTTTTCTGTTCGAGGAAAGAGGTGTGTTAGACTGCAGTTATCTGGAAGATTAAAGAGCAGGCAGCTGACACAGCTGGTGACGGTGAAGAACCACCTCACACGTGGTTCGGTCACTCGGGACCTCATGGAAGCCACAAAGGAAGGCAGAGGCTGCTCCAGAAATAAAACATTCACCCCAGCTCAGCAAAGTGCCCTCTGATTCCCACTAACCCCTTCCTGGCTGAGGCACCAGCAGGAACAGCACAGCTTTTGCTCAAGAATCCTCAAATCAGCTGAGTCGTGGACGAACCTGAGCAGCCTTATCCTCACTCTGCTTTGTTCGGGAGAATTATTTGAGGCAAGCAACGAAAACACCCGATAATTAATTACATTTTCATCTCCGAAACTCATTCTCAAGCCCTCTGCTAAAGCTTCCCAGGAACCAAATTTCAGCTGAGAAACAGACAGCCAATTTGTAGAATCGAGTTTAGAATCAGAAATGTGTCAAACCTGCTCAGGTGCCCTGACACTGGCCCAGCCTGCACATGCCAGCTCCAAGTGCCACCCTGTGCCAATGGCACGTGGTAGGACATGGGGAAGTCAAAGCTAAAAAAGGAAGAAACCTGATGATTTTATTTGTGAAAAATCCAAAGGGAATAAAAGCACTGAGGAGAGATCCCCCTGCCCTGAGGCACACCCTTGGATTGCTGCTGCTTCTACTGGGTAAGAAGCAGAATGTTACAGGTTGTTTTCTCGACAAGACAAAACCTTCATTTGGAAGAGGCAGCTTAGGATAGAAACTCCAGTGCTCAGATTGAAGCCAGAACAGATGACCTAAAGGATTGCATTGGTTGGAAAGGGAAAGGCTTAAATTTTCAAATGTCAAGTCCTTGTCTTGTTCCCTTCCAAAGATCAGCATTGTTTGTCCTCCCTCCCCTGTTCACTTCAGGTTTGCCTGCACCTCTCTTGTCCACACAGGAAGGAAGACAAATGGTTCCTTCCAGAAGCTGTTGCATCCAAGAGTGGTTTGGATGGTTGTTTGCATTTGAGTTGTACCATGGAGATGTGCTGGAATCACCAGGCTCACACAACCCCCTAAAGATCCCACAAAGCTGCAGTGCTGAGATCCTGGAATCATGGAACGGGCTGGGTTGGGAGGCACCTTAAACTCACCCAGTTCCACCCCCTGCCATGGGCAGGGACACCTTCCACTAGCCCAGGTTGCTCCAGCCTGGCCTTGGACACTCCCAGGGATGGGGTTTCCTTACTGATGACCCCAAAAGCCGTGCCAGGGAATCCCTCACTGAGCAGGCAAAGTGGGGGATCAAGCCTGACCTCTCTGAGAGAAGAAAGCAACCAACAATTTAACCTTTCAAAAGGTCCTCAAAAAATGACAATTTAAGCCCCAGAAAGCTGCAAGTCTCTAACCCTGCAGTATTTCTGGTTTCAGCTGAGCCACAAACCCCACAGAAAATGGATCTTTCCAGCACAGGGGGTGCAGAAACACGGCCTGTTGGAATGCTCAAGGATTTCTGCGCTCCCCAGAAACACAAAACTGTGTTTCTCAGACTCTTGCCTGAGGCAGGAGCTCTGTCCTTGCAAGAGGGAATGGGATGAGGATGGATCTGGGCTTCAGGGACCTGCTCTGCCCTGTGCTTGTCCCTGGGGATTGTCCCTGGGAGCTGAACCAGGAGCGAGAGGAGACCCACAGGGACTTAACAGTTGTGTGACAGTGAGGGAGGGAAAACTCCCACAGCAGGTACACAAACACCACACACAGGGATTCCCTTCCCACCCAAACCACGATTCCTGCCACCACATCTCTGAGTATTGTCCCTTTTACACCTGTCCCAGCTCAGCCAGAAACAGCAACAACCGGAACGAGTTCATGAAATGAATCACGAGATGAATTATTTTGGTTTCTGCCATACCTCAGAAAAGCCAGAGGGAAATTCTTGTATTTCCTTGTCCCCCAGCAGAGCCCAAGTGCTGCAAGGTTGTAAAGAGGAGGTTTGGATTCAAACCCAGTTGATCCTCCTCCAATCCTGACACCAACCTTCACCCAAACCACTCATCCCACCAGCAAACCCTGTTCTTACAGAGAACATGGGAACAGCAGTAAAAACACCCCAGTGAAACATTTCTGCCTGGAAAGCAATTAGAGATTTCTATTTTTATAAACACAGATCACTGTTGAATAAACAATACAACTCACTAATGCCAGCAAAGTTTTATAATAAAGTGAGATTCGGTGCTGCAGAATGAATTGGGTTGTTACTGTTGGATATAATATTTGCAGAATCATAAAGGGTAATTATGCACATGGGGACCAACTGCAGCAGCACATTTTTAGAAATAAAAAGGAATTAAAATATACAGCTTTTTAAAAATACTGGAGTATCTGCAACCCTGGCCTGCCACTGAAATTGGCTTTGTAAAATTCAAAATATCCTTCCCTGACAGACATTTCAAACCAGCATCATTAGGAGCTACCCATAAAAATCAGGCAAGCATGTTTTTCTAATTAGTTCTTTAAACCTTCCAACCAAATTAAGAAAAAACCTCAATTCTGCTATGAAAAATGTCAGTTGTGCAGAATCAAAGAATCATGGAATGGTTTGGGTTGAAAGGACTTTAAAGACCACTCAGTTCCAACACCCTGCCATGGGCAGGGACATCTTCCACTACAATTTAATCCTGTCTCTGACATGAGGCTCCAGCAGCCACTCAACCAATCCATCCCAGCTCAACCCAATCCATCCTAACCCAACCAATCCATCCCAGCCCAACCCAATCCATCCTAACCCAACTGAACCCAAACCAATCCAACCCAACTCAATCCAAACCAACTCAACCCAACTTGATCCATCCCAGCTTGATACAACCCAACCCAACTCAACCCAATCCAACCCAACCCAACTCAACTCAATCCCACTCAATCCATTCCAACCTGACCCAACTCAACCCAATCCAATTCAATCCATCCCAACCCAAATCAGTCCAACCCAACCCAATCCATCCCATCCCAACCCAACCCAACCCAACCCAACCCAAATCAATCCAACCCAACTCAACCCAATCCAAATCAATCCAACCCAAATCAATCCAACCCAATTCAACCCAGTCCAACTCAATCCAACCCAAATCAATCCAACCGAATCCAATCCAACCCAACCCAACTCTTCGGTGCAGCAGGTGCTGAGAGACCACCTAAAAAATCACTGCTACAGATCCTTGGAACAGGACTGCTCTGACCTGCTGCCTGTTCAACATCCACAGGGTCACCACCCTGCCCTTGGCTTCCCGAGGCTTCCCTGGATGCAGGGAGTTCCCTCCAGCCCACGTGGTACCTTGCGGACGTGGCAGGAGAAGAGGACGTTCATGTACTTGTCCTTCCTCTTCAGCTCGTTGGCCACAGGGACGAAGGAGCCCGAGCTCTGGGGGTTGTCTGATTTCTGCAAGAGCAAACACAGGCTCAGGGCCCTCCTTGGTGACCCAGGGAAGAGGGGATGGCAGTGACAAGGCTCCCTCCTGCCCCCGCCTCACCATGGAGTTCTGTGCTTTGTGAAACCAAACACAACCCTTCAAGGCAGGACAGGGCAAAGGGAAGCAACCAACCCTGCCCACGTCTGTTCCTGTTCATTCTGTGCCTTCTTCCTTTATATCCAGTATTTCAGTGTTCCACTGAGGTCTGTCTTTGCCCATTTCAGAGCAGATGGCACCGCTCATCCCCTTTAAAGCTGCTGGTGCTGCCCAGAACTCAGAAAAATCCCTCCTGGAGCAGTGGAAGTCGAGATTCTGGACTCCATAAACCCACTTACACAGGAAACCTCAAAGTACTTGTCCCTCCAAGGAAACCAACAGGCATTTCTGCAGATTTCCCACCCTTTGCCCCAGGGCTTGTGCCAGCCCCTCAGACTCACCAGTGCGATGTAATTCCCCTGCCAGGCTCTCTGCAGGCCAATGTCAGCTCTGTGACCCTTCAGCACCTCCATGGCAGCCACCTTGGCCCTCAGCTGAGGTAGCACTTCTGGTGGGACGCTGCGGATGAGTTCACCCGCTCTCCACCTGCCAAAAATACCCCTGTCAGTCCCACAACCTGGGCCACACCCTGCAGGGGCTCCTGCTGCCACATCAGCACCAGGACACCACTGAACAGCCCTTCCTTAGAGCTGGAAATGCCAGCTGACATCCTGATGTCAAAAATCATCTCCAACCTGACGGGCTGGGCTGCCAAAGTCCCCATCCCACACCCAGGAGTCAACCACTGGTGCATCTGTTTGCAGTGAAGTGTTTCCAAGCCCATTTCTGGGCTCATTTTACGCCATCATTCTGCTCTGACAGCTGAATCTGGCCCTTCAGTTCACACCTGACCAACTGCACCAGGGAACAGCCCATCCACGGCCCCACAGCACACTCCAGCCTTCAGCAGCAGCACCAGGTCTCCAGGATTAACGCTATAAAAAGACTTTTAGCGACTAAAACTCTGTAGTTATGGTAATTGTGCTTATTCTGAAAGCAGGACTCTCTACCCAGACAGGCTGTGGGTGGATGGATGTCTCTTTTTCAAGAGACAGCTGGGGAAAATAACAAAGCTGACTTGATCTAGGGGCTGGTGGTAACCCCCCCTGCAAACAGATGGCTGGATGGGAGCTCTCTGACAGCCCCTCCAGCCAACATTTCTTTTGTTCAGCCACTTTCAAAAATTCATCATTTTTCAAACTGGAATTATAAATAGTTTGCCTAAAGCTTCCCAGAGAAAAAAGTCACTGGCCTTTAGGTACCAGGAGCTTTAATAACAGTACAAACACCTTTTCTGCCCACAGAACATGGGTGACCAGGTTCAGTGTACTGCAGGAAAACACTGCCTTGCTGCAAGAAGTCAAGAAGATTCCTTTTCTCTTCCCCCTCATCCCACAGCAGCTGCTCTTTCCTTTTAAAACCAAGCAGAGGAGGCCAAAAAAGGGGCCAAGGAAAGAAATACAATGTCCATCCTCATTAAATCACTTGGGGCAACCTGGTAAGGTGTCCCTGCCCATAGGGCAGTAGGGGTGGAACTGGATGGGCTTTTAGGTCGCCTCTAACCTCAAACCATGCTCTGATTCGATGAGATTCTATGATTTTATTTTATTTTATTTTATTTTATTTTAATAATGGAACATTATCCAGTGGAAGGTGTCCCTGCCCATGGCAGGAGGTTGGAACAAGATGATCTTTAAAGTTCTGTTCCAAACCCAACCTTGCTTTGACTCTGTGCTGCTCATTCGCTCGAGAGTCGGACTTGAAGATCCTTGTGGACTTCCCCCCCCCTCAAAAAAACACAGAATATTCTGTGATTCGATGACAAATCTGCGAACCCACAAACATTTGCTGGGTCAAACCCTTCACCTCTGCCACCGCCTGGGGGGTTCTCCACCGGGGGAGCAGCAGCGGTGGCGGTGTGGCCGAGGTTGGGGGTTGACCAGGAGGTGTGGGGTTGATCAGGAGGTGTGGGGTTGACCAGGAGGTTGGTGTACCTGTGGTAGATGGCCTGCAGGGCCTCCTCGAAGCGCCGCAGCACCTTGGGGGGGGTGGGCCACTGCACGTGGCGGCCGCGGTCGCGCAGGAGCCGCACGTTGTGGAAGCGCCGGGCGACCTCGCGGATGTAGGACTTGACCTTGTAGCGCCGGTAGTGCCGCAGGATGGTCAGTGCCGCCTTGGTGCGCCGGTAGCGCAGCCGGGCCAGGGTGCCCCTCCACACCTGAGCCGGGGGGGGAAACAGCTTTAGCAAGGGACAGCAGAGGGGCTGCTTCCTTCTCGTGCTCCTCTGATGGTGCTGAAATCAACCACTGAGATGCCAACAGGTGGACCTGCTGGAACTAGGCCAGAGGAGGCCGTGGAGATCATCACAGGGCTGGAGCCCCCCTGCCATGGAGAGAGGCTGGGAATGCTGGGAGAAGGCTCCAGGGAGACCTGAGAGCCCCTTCAGGGCCTAAAGGGACTCCAGGAGAGCTGGAGAAGGACTGGGGACAAGGGATGGAGGGACAGGACACAGGGAATGGCTTCCCACTGCCAGAGGGTAGGGTTAGATGGGATACTGGGAAGGAATTCTTGGTTGTGAGGGTGGGCAGGCCCTGGCACAGGTTGCCCAGAGAAGCTGTGGCTGCCCCTGGATCCCTGGAAGTGTCCAGGGCCAGGTTGGAGCAAACCTAGGCTAGTGGAAGGTGTCCCTGCCCACTGCAGGGGGTTGCACTGGATGAGCTTTCAGGTCCCTTCCAGCCCAACCCACACCATTCCATGGTTCTTTGCTAATTTACCATTAAGAACAATTATCAAGAAACAATTTCAGCTGATTAAAAGAAGCTTGCTTGGAAAATAGTTTGGGGAATCTCCGTTCTGGCCGTGTGTGGAAAAGCAACCAAATATACAAAACAAAGGACACCCCCCTGAGCTTTGGGATGGGGACCAGCTCCAGCAGCATCACTGAGAGCTGTGTTTGTGCCTGGAGAGCACCACAAGCACAACACTTGCAGGTTCTGGGCTTCTCCTGGCACCCCCTGTCAAGGGTGTGGTGCAGGAAAGCTGCTCCACGGCAACCAACTCCTGAGGAGAAGCCCCCAGGCAAGGGGAAGGAGGGCTGGGCAGGTGCAGCTTCCATCCCATAACCAGAGGAACACACCTGAGCACTCTTAGGCTGTCCCATCTCCCAGGGGATCCCTGCCCTCCAAAACAACCCACCAGGCCAAGACTGTATTTTGTTTCCTTGCAGAGCCTCCTGCACCCAGAGCTTCCCTGCCCTGCCAGCTTATTTCCCTCTCCTGAGAAACATCCCCCAGCACTGTTGATGAATATCAAGCCTTCTATTTACAGAAGAATTAATTAATTACCCGAGGCAGTTTTCAACACACACCAGTCGCTTCAGGGAGCTGAAGTCAAAGGTTCTCCTGGCAGCTTCACTGGCACTCCTGCCACGTGGCTGTGCAGCAACCAGAGCAGGGGTGGGAGGGGCTGCTTCTCCCCACACACTCAAACTTCCAAGAGAAATCGAGATTTTGGGTCCCAAACCCTCAAAACCAAAGGACTTTCTTCTTTCACCCTCTGTCAGAGTAACCCCTCCTCCCTCTCTTTTCCTCACTGTCCTCATGTGAGGTATCTCCAGTGCCCAACAGACACGATCCCTGTAGCTCTGGCAGGGCCTGGGGAGGTGCTGGAGATCTGGGAGAGCTGGAAAAGGGCTTTGGACAAGGGATGGAGGGACAGGACAATAGGGAAGGGCATCCCACTGCCACAGGGCATGGAGAGATGGGATATTGGGATGGAATTCTTCCCTGTGAGGGTGGGCAGGCCCTGGCACAGGATGCCCAGAGAAGCTGTGGCTGCCCCTGGATCCCTGGAAGTGTCCAAGGCCAGGTTGCAGAACCCTGGGCTAGTGGAAGGTGTCCCTGCCCGTGGCAGGGGGTGGCACTGGGTGCTCTACAAGGTCCCTTCCAACCAAAGCACTCTGTGATTCTGAGAACAACCCAACTCACACAAGGTGACCAAAGACAGGAGCTCCTCAACAGCCCCAGCCCCTGCCAGGGCTGCTCTGCAAAGGCAGGTGTGGGAACAGAGACCATTGCAGCACTGGAAGGGAAGGGCTGGGGCAGCAAGGCTGGACACGGGGCAGGGAAGGGAAGGGTCAGAGCAGGAAGCACAGAAAGCAGTCCCTGTAACCAGGGCAGAGTCATCACTGCTGGACTGCCCAGAGCAGCAAACCAGCAGGAGGACAAAGCAGGAGTCACCCAGTGAGCTCAGAACCTCAACCCTGGGTGCGTGAATAAAACAACACCCAACGCTTTCCTCATTTATTCTCTGAAGTCATTAGACAGATTGAGGGGAAGCAGCATCCCCTGCACCACATATGCTGTGCTTAGCAGTCACTTTTAGCAGGCTCAGATATAACTGTAGTTTTAGATCCTTCACAAAGAGATCCAAGAACACCATGGAAAGGGCACCAGAGCTGCTCAGGAGCTCGAGGTCTCTGCAGCCACAGCCTAAACCTGACTGGCACAGGGCCTGGATCTCACCCAGAGTGTGTAAGGCTGGATTTAAGCTGGCATTTCCCTGTCTGAGAGCAGAGCAGGATCATAAAACTCAGGAATCTGACAGAATCACCAACTAGGACCAAATAACTGAGCACTCGAGTAATTTGTGCCCTTTTTTAAAGAAGAGCAAAGAAGACTTGGATTGCTTGAGACAGTCAAGCAGATTCTTCTGAAGAGTCATAAAATGGACCTGTAAGGGATGTGTGGGCAATAAGCAGGAGCAACTGGGCAAAAACCTCTTGCTAACTTCTCATTTCTTAATTTAATAAGAACAGAAATGAGGAACAGAGGGATCCAGGTCACAGGGAAACAGCCTCTGAGTGTTACAAAGGACCTCCAGAAAAGAAGCCACAGCAAATCTGTGTAAGCTGATAAAGACCTTGCAGGGCTTCACTTCTGCCAGCTCTTCCCCAAAACCATTCTGAACCGGTTTTTAGACCCAGAGCAAGGTCTAGATTTTGCTTCTCTGGGCTCTGGAGGGAAACCTCCCTCTGTGGGTCCTCTCTCCACCAGCCAGGACGAAGGCTGAGCAGATTGCCCCGATGCTGGATCAGCTGCACCGCCACAGAAATCGGCTGCACAGCAAGAGGTGTCACAATTGGACAAACACTGGCCTCCCAAAGCCAATTATCCAGCCCAGGCAATGCCCCTTGGCTGCACACAGCAAAGCATTAATGAAAAGCAGGGCCTCAAATCAAGCTGTCATAGCTGGGTAACCTCCCAGCTCGGCAGGACCTTCCCACGAGCCACCACCAGCGCCTCTGCAAGGTGAGGAGACAGTCAAGGGTGAGAACAAGCTCCTCCAGGGAGGGGGGGACAAATCTTTCCCTGATTAATTGTTTTTCTGGCTTGGTGTTCCTCTGAATGAGCCAGGGCTCAGTTCTGCTTCGAGCTGAGCTGCCTGATGGTCCCACAGGCACTTCCAGGAACACGGATTGCTCAATCCTGTGGGCAACAGGAGGCACCAGAGCAGCAAAGTCCTTGCTGTGCAGGCACTTTGAGTGGTGCAGTTGGGAGCAGAGGGGCACAGACGAGACAAAGGGGGATCACAGAATCATGGAATCACAGAATGGCTGGGCTGGAAGGGACCTGAAAGCTCATCCAGTGCCACCCCCTGCCATGGGCAGGGACACCTTCCACTGGTTGCTCCAACCTGGCCTTGGACACTTCCAGGGATCCAGGGGCAGCCACAGCTTCTCTGGGCAACCTGTGCCAGGGCATTTCCAGAACAATCAGCTCCAGGATGCTGGAGTGTTTCCTGCCAACACACACCTTGCTCAGGTTTGAACACTGGCAGAGCACTCCCCCTCCCAATGGACCTTCTCAATCTTCCCCCACCTCCAGTTCCTGACTCAGGAGCATTAAAGCACCGTGAACTTAAATTTCAAACCTCAAATTTCCAGAGCTACGTTGAACTGACCCTCACGTTGCAGGAGGTGCTGATGTGTTCTGTGCTGGAGGACAAAGGGTAGAGCCAGGACCAAATATGCCCCAAACCCAACAGCACGACCTGTACATGCAGGGTTTCACTTCTCCTTGCACCCAGGATCATGTCCAGGGGACCTCCATAGACGGTTCAGAAGACATTCAGCAGCTCACCTGCATCATCCATCTGAGACCTGACCAGCTCCCAGCTTCCACTTCAATCCAGCCACTCCCCACCTGCTGGTTTCAGTGGTTTGTAGCAAATCTTGCAGGTCTGGGCAAACCAGGCCGGGATGGCAGAGCCCTCATCCCTCCCACAGGCAAGGAGAAATCAATATTCCCTTTCCCCTTCCCGTGGCTTTCCCTGCTGGCTACCCTGGCTTCCCGTGGGAATGAGACTCAAGATGTCCTTGTCTGACCTCCTGAGATCGCCCTGACAGCTCCTGAATCCCGAGCCAGCTCCCAGCAAACCCGACAGAGGGGCAGCAGACTCGGAGAGCCGAGTCCAGGGATCCTTCAGGAAAAATCAGCCGCAGGGCAGAACGAGCCTCAAATCAGAGTGACACTGCTGGAACGGCTTCAGCACGAGCTCCAGAGCCATCTGCCTCCTCACAGCTCCCAATCCCAACCAGGCACAGCGGGGACAGGACACCAGAGGGATCTGGCAGCGTTTCCAGGGGGATGAGGAGGTGGAGATGCGAGCAGGGCGCGAGGGAGGGAAGTGGGGGGATGGGATGGACCCCCCCAAAAATCCTGTTTGCTGACAGTTTTCAAAGTCATCCAGCGAGGAGCAGACTCCAAAGCAGTGGATTCTGTCCCTGCTTAGCACAGAGCCCTGTGACCAAGCAGGAACAAGGAATGGATTGTCCCCACAAGGAGAGCTGTCCCCACAAGGACACTGGACAGGGCAGGTGTAGGGAGGGAATAATCAGCACAATGTGCAGGCAGGGAAGGGGCCCACGAGCAAATCATGCACTCAAGAGCAGAGACATAACTATGATTGTGTTGGAAATAGAAAAAAAAAGGAGTTTTTAGGCTTGAAAATACAAATTTAAAAAACCCAAACCTACCATAAACCAAAACCAACAAACCAAACAAACATTTCCCCCACCCACGGTCTCTTCTCATCTCTTTCAATATCTTTGCCTTCTCTGTGTTTCATCCTCCTGAAGGGCAGGGGAAGAAAAATTAAGATGGCAAGTGCAATTAGGACTAAAGGGCCAGGAGAAGGGATAAAGGAGAAGGTTGGAAA